CACTATGCATTTATTAAAACAATTAATATATGTTAAACCTATTCAGCAATTAAGGCAAAGCTTTTTTGTACAACTGTAACTGGAAATACTGGGTGCATCTACACATGAAGTTAATGTAACACAATAAAAACTGGAGCAGTTCACACCAGAGTAAACTACTTCTGAGCTCAGCATCTACACACTCTCCTGGGACAGCAGCAATTTGAGCTGGGGTGGAGCAGGCTGCTGGCTGGCTGGGCTGACTGGGAGCAATTTACACCCCTGTTCACTGTCTACACATGTTTCAGTGCAGTAAAGTTCTCCTTCATAATATAGTACTGTCCCCGACTATACCGTCCTATGGAGGAGTTAATTAGTTTACTGTGCTCTAATACCGTTGCATGTGTAGACTGCAGTGATTTATTATGGAGTTAATTAGTCTATACTACAGTAAAGTGCATGTGTAGATGAACCCACTGGGTAGGTTTTTAGGCCAGCGTTAGAGTAGTTTCTACAATTAAGGAAATCCTAATACTTTAAAGATAAATATTTAAATGCAGTGACTAATACTTGTGGGATCAATATGTTGTGTTTGACCATAAAAACAGGCAGATGTGTGCCTCCTGATTCTGTGTGTTCTTGGTTTAAAAAGTACCTTTAACTCATTAGTTTAAAATGTATTAGGACTCATTGACTTGGTATATTATTTAGATTAATTTATAAGGTTATAGTAAACCCACTGTTCTATTTTGTAATGCAATCGCATCTTGTTTTGTTTTTTTTTAAAGGAGGTTTATATAAAAAGGGATCATTTACATTTTTAAAACTTTATTTCTTTTTTTTTTTTTTTTAAATCCTTTTTTTTAGTCACACTGAGAAATTAGAAAATGGATCTCCTGTTTCAGAAAGTTTAAGAACTGATATCTTATCTGCTAAGAATAGTGGTTGGCATTTTTGAGTCTTCTGGATGTGGTTCATTTTCTGCTTCTCACATGAGTCCTTCAGATTTGCTACTCTGGTGCTTAAATGACTATTAGTAAGGAGTAAATACAGTAAAGAAGCAGGCAAAATAGATATTATATAATTAATTATAATTCATAAGCCTATACCTTGAATAAATTGGATATGAGCAGCTAAAAGCATCCCTAAATGCATATTACATTAAGGTTTGATCACCAACTGTAACTGAAAGTGTTTTTAGAAATAAAGCCCTTTGATAGCTTTTTACCCTTTCTTAGTTTGTTTGGCCTTTTTTTCCTGTGTTTATAATGCATACTTATTTTTAACAATATCTTTAACTGAAGGACTGTTTGTTGCTAGTAGACTACTATATTTACCTGAATCCAAGACAACTTTTGAATTTAAGATGACCCCCCAATAATTAGATTCTACATATGAAAAAAATATAATGATGTTATAACTTTCCACATATAGAATCTAATTATCAGAATGTTGTCTTTAAATTCCCCCTCCCCCACTCCTATAGCTGTGAAATCGGTAGCAGGGGGCAGGTGGGGGGCGGTGAGACACACATATGGCCTTCTTGCCCCTCCCTCTCCTACTTCTTACTGTCAGATGTGGCTCCAGCTCTATTCCCTTCCAGGGCATGGAACATGTAGAAGCTCTGTCCCCTGCCTGGCCATGAAGCAGTGTCCCAAGGCCTGAAGCTGCTGCCACTGCTGGTCTGGCCCGGCAGGGTATGGAGCTTCCATGTGCTCTGTGCCCTGGGAGGGAATGGAGCTAGAGCTGGAGCCGCATCAGACAGTATGGTGGTGGGAGGTACAGAAGCCGGAGTCACAGCTGCAGCAACTGCCTGCTTTCACCTTGAAATCCAAGATGAGGGACTACTTACCCCACACTGAATGGGGAAAAGCCCTTGTTTTAGTTTCAAGTAAATACAGTATTGTTCTGGCAATCTTGACTGTTTTTGAGCTTGAGTCAAATAGATGAAATTTAGAAAGCAGCATGGCTACAGTCTCTAAATCTAAAGCAATTTTAGTTGTTAGATTAATACTTTTTATAGTCCTTGAACATGGAAAGCAGGTCATACTGTTACTAGCTAACAGGGGAGGGAATATAGCCTGTATATTATTCTTAAAAATAAATGTGGCTGTATACCTTAGTCCAGTCTTCAGCAGCTCGGTATGAAAACACTACTCTGCAGTGAGACCTTTTCTTGTAGTTAGGGAGCTCTTGGTTTTCACTACAAACCAACTGAAAGCATGCAATTAAACCCCTATCCTCACTTTCAGAAGTATCTAGCAATAGCAAGTCTGTAAATGTGTGGAGGTGATTAAGTATCAGCAATACGTTTCATTTTGCTCTCATTTTGCATTCTTAAAGGTTGAGTGCCAGTTGCCATGTTTCCCACTCCCTCCATTCCATTCCCCTCAAACTCTGACCTCTAACAATAAAACCCTTGTTACTCTATGTTAAGGCTTATAGTATATGCTAGTTAGATATGAATAGTGAACTGTAGGGTTAGCGTTCACACTTTTTATAATTAAAACTGGTTAAAACGAGTATGGAAAGCTGTTCTTCCACATCTGGATCTGTACATCTGTGCGCCTTCATGTGACATTATCATTTACATTCTTTGGTGTATTAGGAGTCTGTTAGACTGGGAGTTCTGGTCAATCTGTCAAACTAATGTATTTTCTCACATACAGCCCACTTTAGAATAAACGAACAAAAAAAAAAGCACACCTTGTTTTTGAAAAGCAAACTAAAGGGGGGAAAAAAAGAACTTTCCTCATAGTAAGTAATTGAGGCTAGGAAGTGATGTTTCATTTCTCCCTGGACAAGTTGTGCCTATGTTTTCCTGGAACAGAAATATCCTAGGATTGGTGCATGCACACATCTCCCTCTGAATCAGGGTTAAGTGAGCGGCTGAATGCATTGTTACTTTTCTGCCATTGATTCAATAATGCAGTCCCTGGATAACCATTCAGGATGTACTGTAATGTCTTGGGATAAACTGTTAGTATTTGCTATTCTGTGAAACTTTTTTAAGATTTATCCTAGGACAGTGTACATGGACACTTGAATTTTGTCCTGGTAAAAAACAGTGCATCATGTTAAATGTGAATAGCAGCAGTTTGGGATCCTGCGCCTTGTCCTTTTCCCTATGAGCCCTGGGCAAGTTTTATTTTCACTTTTGCTGTTAATTGCAGAGCCTGTTCTTATAGCATTTCTTGCATATAAGGCATCCTGCCATTTCTAGCCCCTGTGTTTTTTTTTTTTGGGCGGGGGGGAAAGGTGTGCATTATGTGAGAACATAATATGTATGAAGTTACATGAGGTGAAGTGGAAGGCAGTATCTTTTGGCAACTGGTAGCCTGGTCTTTACCATAGAGGTTGCATTGTTCAGCATCACCCATCAGGTCTGTCAAGAGTTTGTGGGGGTGGGGGAAGGCTGGGGGGAGCGGGGGCAGGAGGGAGTGAAAGTTGCAAGGCCTGTTCTATAGGTCTAACCACCAGAGCAGGTGTGACTGTTTTTGTTTTTGCCCCTGGTTGTTTTTATTTCCATTGTCACATGTTTGGAATATTCTAGTATTGCTAAGTTTTTAAGAAAGCAAAGCTTGATGCAGTTTTTTTTCTTAAGCATAGCAGACACTAATATGACCGGCTACTGAAAAGTAGGGAATGAAGGACCCTTAGGTCATTTAATTCTCTCCCTTCCTTAGTGCAAGATTGCCTTCAGAAATCTTTCTTCCTTTTCTAAAAGTGCTACACTTCGTAGCAATGTGGCAGCAATGGAACTAGAAACTTATTAAATGTACAAGTATTACAGGAGTTTCAAATCTATTGCATTAGCTAGGGACAGAAGTTTCAGTTGCATGTTACCCCTTACAACTCAGTCCAGCAGAAAAATGTCCAGCATGCAGTTATCTGTTCTGTACAAATTCCTTCTTTTTATTTTTTAAAGAAAGGGTTATAACTTTGAAGAAAATGCCTTCAAAATGGCAATATTGGTAGCTGCTTTTATTATATTAGTTGCTATTCTAGTGTGTCATGCCTAAGTACAAATATCCAGCTTCATTATATTCAAATGTAAGGTTTTATATAAAATAAAATATGACACTGAAAGTAATGAGTCACTTAATCTTGAATGGAGAACTTTGTAAATGGAAAAAGGCAGCTCTTGTGTGGCCAGCCTCCAATATTTTTGAAAGAAAAGATGCATTTCAACATAAATTCTCCAAATGTATATATTTAGGTGTTTGCTGGTTTGAGTGGAAGACCCTAAAATCTTTGGCATTTATTGTACGAGGAGATAAGGGGGTATGCAGGAGACACAGATTTGACATACAAGTTTAAAATTGCAGTGCGGCAGTTGCCAGATCTTTCAGATAATGAGCATATATGTACACTGCATTTTTGAGAAATTATAGCTGAGAGGTAGTGGTAACATGGAATTCAGCACAAAATAGTTTCTCCTGTTCTACTCTGTCTGTTTGTAATTTGTAAGCAAATAAAAATTAAAGTTTTGAGATTCTGTGCTGTGACAGTTCTTAAGTAGAAGGGGAGAGGGGTAGGGAGGACAGGAAATTGCATAATACCTAGTTTTTCTGTATGTACTGAGTTTCATTGAAAGAATGGGCACATGAACAAGCTGTGCAAAGTACAGGATGGCATGGCTTTACAGCATGTCAACTACTCCTTTATAACAACTCACTGAAAACTAACTAAAGTAGCTTCCTCCCAATCAGAAGTGAGTTAAACTGCACTTTTGATAGGGTGAGAGCATGCACATAGGCAGTTGCAATAAAATAGCTGATAGTTTTAAGGCTCTGTTATCCTTTACCTTATGGTAACTTGTTTTATGCCTGTGGCCTGAGTTAAATGGGAAATACCTATATCCTTTAGGGGAGCAGAAGAACAATAGGATTCTTTGCCAGTAAATGAAAATCCGTACTCTTGGCCTCATTTGTTAAGTAAATGATGGGCAGATTTGCCAGGGGGTAGGGGTGTCTCCTTAAAAGTTAGATTTAAGGCTATATTCTTTCTTATTTCAACAGGAATCTTTTGATTCTACTATGCAGCTGCACCTTGTACATCAAGCTCCACGCACCATTCCTCCTTACCTCTCCAAAAATGGATCAAGCCTTGGAGACTTGTTAGTGGGCTTCTTTAAATATTATGCCACAGAATTTGAGTAAGTGATCATTTATGTTTAACATCTTGTAAATACTTAACATTTGTGCTTGCTTGTATACATATCAAACATTTTTAAAGTGATTAGAGGTAGGAATAGGTTGAAGGCAGGATGGAAGTGATGAAGCACAAAGGAAGAAAGATGCAGGGGCACATAAAAGCAGCAAGGAGTACCACTGTAAAATGGAATGGAAGTTTAAGTTGCATGATGAAACACCCCAGCTAATCTGCAAAATAGCCTGGTAGAAATCAGATAGCTCTACTATTTTAAAGCCAGAAGTTTGTTGCAGTATGCTATTTTAGAATGCCACTGACCTATGCAAAGCAGTTCTACGTTCCTGATGTAATTTAAGGTACTGTTTTGATCTGAAATAGATTGGGGTTTTGGTTCTCTTTGGCCTCCTCTCTAATCTAATATCAGTGTAGTGTTTGATCTAACAACTATCTACTTCAGTTGTTCTGGAAATGAACGTTGGGCACTTTCAGTGAAAGGTTCTCACTAAAAAAAAATCATTTCCCTTTTGATTTGCCATAATCTAAGGGCTTGGGTGGATTGGTTATAAGGGCGGGGGGAAAAGGGAGATGTTAATTAGAAAGGCTCTCAGGAGCCGCTCTAATTAAAACACCTGCAGAGTCTTGTGCATTCAGCAGCTTGTATTTCAAAATGGCTGTGGGGGTGCTTTAACTAAAGCTTTAGGTAAAGTACCCCTGCCGCCATTTTAAAATTCAGGGACGCTGAGTACGTAAGAAGCTGGAGCATTCAGATTAGAATGCTTCAATAGACTCAATTAATAGTCTGCTGTGTTGCATTCTAATCTAAATGCATTGGCACACATGTTTAGGTGCTGAAAGTTTGTTAATTTTCTGTTCTTGTAGCAGTTAAAAAAGAGGAATCAAAAAATGATTTGATGAACAGGAAAATTTGAGATTGTGAGCGCTCTGGTTTATGAACACAGAGCCTAAATGTCATTGTGGATTTCTTCTGTAAAGACTTGTGCATCCAGGACACTGAATGGGTACATTTTAATAAGCTTAAAATGTTCTGGAGTCCTTGATGATTTCTAATGGTGCAGACACATGATTTATATTTGGCAACCATTCTGAATATTTATAATGTGTTTCACAGGATGGGGGGACAAGACTAACAATTTATAGATTGATATAGATATAGATATATATAGATGGATATTGCAGTAAGCCTTGGGGGCTGGTATTAGTACCAAATACATTTGTGGAAAGCTTGGCAGAAAGTGTGGTCTACATTTATAGGCTTGGGAATACAGGTATTTCCTCTTCCTGTTCCTACTGATTGACTGAGCAAAGAGAGCTGTGCTAGAGAGATGAGTTAATCCCCATCATTTATGTTGTTTACTAGACCATTCACTTTTCCTTCTATAGACATTTGGATATGTACTGCAACACAGGTTAGTTAGAAATTTTCTGTCACAGGACAAGTTCTACAACAACAATTCTAGAGAAAAGGATGTGCCAGAGCCAGAACATAATGGTTTGGGTCACAATAGTAGTCTTAGATTAGATGGCCATACCTACATGTATATTGTCCATGGCTCGCTTCTGTGTGAGATAATCAGTGCTTTGTGAAGCAAGCATAGCAGGGGTGTACATTGTAGCTGGGACCTGTGGCAGTTCAGGGGTAAATTTAAGAACAGGCCTAAATGTAAAAAGGAGACTTAATAGTAGGATATAAACCAGGGGCAGGCAGTTGTTTCCGGTGGAGGGCAACTTGCTGAGTTTTGGCAAGTTGTCAAGGGCTGGATGGGTAGCCCCACCCCTTGACAGGTGCCCTGCCCCCTGATTGCCATCTTGTGCCTGGAAGTCCCACACCCTAAACCAGGGGTGGGCAAAATGTGGCCCACCAGGCCATTCCATCCAGCCCTCTGGACCCCTACAAAATTTAGAAAATTAATATTCATCTGCCCCTGCCTGCCTGTCATGCAGCCCTCAATGGCTTGCCAAAACTCAGTAAGCAGCCCTCCGCCCAAAGTAATTGCCCCCCCTTGCCCTAACCTGAGACATTTGTCATCAGAAGTCCCTCCCCTTGCCCCTGGAAGTACTCCTTTCAGCAAGGGCTTTTGCCATCTCGGAACCAGCAAAATACCAAATTATGTTCTAAAACTGAATGTTTAAAATATTCATATTTGATTTCAAAAAATATTTTGTCCTAGTTTACATGTGTTTGTGTAGTGTACATAGAGGTGATTGTATATAAGAACTTAAAATGAAGTCTTACTCTTGTATGTTGTGGGGGAGGGGTGGGTATGTGGGTTGAGGGGGGAGGGTGTGGGTGTGCCTGTGGGAGGTGGATTGGTGTGGGGGTGTGGGTAGGGGGTGACAGCATGTAGGTATGGGTGGATATGGGGTTCATGGGGGGCAGTTGGGGGGGGGGGGGAGGGTGGCGGGGCGGTGGGTGTGGGGGTCTGTGTATGGCAATGTGAGGGGAGGGGTGGGTGCATGTGTATGGTGGGGTGCACGTGTTGAACTTGCCCTATGAGCAAACGCACACGTGCGCACACACATGCAGATAAGAATAATGCAAAACTCTATTCCCCCCCCCGGTGCGGTCTGGTGATGCAGCTGGAAGGCACAGGCCATATTTTGCCTGCCCTTGGTATAAACTGACCAATAAGGTCTCTAGATTTTGTTGTCATTGGCAACTCATTACTACAAGTGGCAGCAGTGTGTTCAAGTAGAGGTGATCAACCCGTATCAGAAAAGTCATGTTGTCAATCTAGCAAGTAGTGCGTGTATTTGCCATGTTGAAGTCCAAGATGGGTGCAATGAATTCACATTTTGGTTAATATTTCAGCCCCTGCTGGGGTTATAAAATTAGTTCCAATGATGAAACCAGGCTGTATGAACTGAGGAAATCAGTCGGAACATTTCCATGGTGGTAGCTGTATTGGATTCCAAGGTGGCCAACACATTACAATGTATGTATTGGCTCTGTGTAATTAAAAACCAAGTAAACAATACTCTATTACTAATCCCTCATAAATTCTATCACGACAAATTTCATAGCAGGTCTTCAGTACTGAAAGCATAACTCAGGCTATCTTACTTGTTTGAGTTTTATTGAATAAGGCAATACACTTTTTTTCCTTTATTTCACAATGCAGATAAGTCAGATATTAACAATACATAACTCAATGGCAATAGAACAGACAGATGCATGTTCTACTCAAGGCAATAGCAAAATGTAATAGTCCAGTCCAATGGTAATATAAGGGTAATACAACAGTATATACAACATTAATACAATGGGTAATGGCAATTTTTCAGATTGTTGGCACTGGATCTATCAACCAGATACCTTTTTCCGGGCAGACCCAAAACCCCCAGACCGACCATGACCTCTCCATTCAATAATAGGTGAATTTTACTGATACACAGTGATAGCAGATAAGAATAATGCAAACAATTCTATATCTACCAGTCCCGGGGTTCACAGAGTCAAGGTATGTCTGACCAGTATGCAAGCTTCACTTTGAGGTTCTCTCTTGAACGTCAGATGTCAGCAGCCTGGAGGTTGGAGGCCTAGGCCCACCCCCCAGTGGGGTGCGCAAGACGGGCTGGTAGTATGTCCTTTGTACATGGTGGCCTTGGGTTCCCCTCTCAAGGATGCTTGCTCCTCTGAAATCTATTTCTTTTTTTTTTTTTTTTTTTTTTTTTTTTTTTTTTAATCCTCTCTCTTAGATGACTCTTCACCTCTGGGCATCACTGATTGTGGTCTCTGTGATTGTCATACTGTTCACATTCTGTCCTGTCAGCGTATCCCTTTGTTTCACAAGCCCATCACATGCACACATCCTAATTTTGGCTTTACCGGTTTCTCCTAATTTGGTCCATTTACCAAAACTGGAAATCCCAAGGGCACTGTGACCTGGTGCCAGTACTGCAGAGTCCCTTATCTCTGTTATGGAACAGTGTGGTATATGTCTTCAAGCCTGTGCGTCTGCTTGCTGTTTGCCTGTGCCAGATGCAGTGGGCTTTAGAGGAAGTGGTCACAAACAGGCTTTTAGAATTCAGTTAACTGTTGCTGTTGCCCTGGACCATTGTTCTAATGCATATCTACCTTACCTACAAGCAAGTTCCCAAAAGCAAACCTTTAAATATCATTTTCTAGCCATCAGTCTCCTCCTCAAAGGTCTTATACCATCACATAATCAAGGGAATTACCTGGAATGTTCATGAGATTTGTGGGGAGGAACTCCACCAATCATCCCAGGAAAAGTATGATGCATTCATGATTAGGGGCTCCAATGAGCTGGACATTGTGATGAGCCCTTAACTGTTGTTCAGATGTTGCCCATATTCTCTCTGACTTGATCTTTTGTGTCAGCATTCCCTAACCCAGCAACCAGATTTTAGCCAATCAAATGTAAACAGACCTTCCATGCTGGGGCCGGGGAATGTATAGCCTGAGATGCCTATTAAATCTTTTACTCAGCATTCCAGGTAGCTTTCTACTCAGCAGTCTGATTTTCAAGATGGCTGATTAAATCAATGAAACATCCCATGGTCAGAATCTTTGGGTGTGAAACATGTTCCTGGCAATCTTACCCCTCCTATATAATGGGCAATGCTTTATTTGTCATCCCGACCAGATGCTTGGTGCCATCTTAGTACTACCAGTGCCCTTCCATCCTGCAAGAGGCTGGAGAAATGCCAAAGCTCAGGCACTTCCTTTGCAAACAGCATGCTTGTTTTCTATCAGGATGCCACTGTTTTACTCCTCCTTGTTCCAGATCTTTGCACAAATTTGGGGAATTAATAGAGCTATATTGCATTACTATTTCTACTATAAAAAGCTTAAATACATATGTAGCACAAGCAAAGCAAACAAAAGAAAACAAACAAACAAAAGGATGACAACAAAAACAAATGGTCCGTCCAGCCTTCTCAATCTTTGGCATGGCTGAACTTTTTAAGGCCCTGGAGGTGATGCTCCACATGATGTGCCATTTCCGTAGCTGCTTTGCA